CCTGTACTGTGTGTGGTCATCCCCCTGTACTGTGTCCGCAGTCTTGGTCACAAACCTTTTTTCTCAGCTTTGTACAGAGTGGGAAAGTATTAGAACCACAGTCAGGTTTTTACTGCTTTCCAGGGCTACCCTCATGTCCAGCTCTGCTGACAACACTCACCAAACACAAAATGACAGGAAATTGTTAACAGCAACAAGAGAACTAAAAATGATTTTCTTTTTTAAAGTACGGCAAGGCTATAGACCGTTCAAAATGTTAATTTCTTTATACTTTCTTGTTTCAGATGTTCCTTTACTTCCTTTCTGGTGAAACTGTTGTAGGGAGGACAGGAAGTGAAAAGTGAGGGTAAACCTCTCTAATGCAACCCTGAATAACAGTAAAAACCCAACCATTCTAATTCTTCTAATCTAACTCATAACTTCAATGGAAGAAAGGTGTGACACCCTGGGTCTCATTAAAGAGATCTTTGGTCCCATGTGGTAAAGAATAAAGTTAATTGAAAAAAGCATGAAAAAAAAAAAAGTGACACCCAAGCATCTAACCCCCCCACTCCCCCTCCCAAAATACAATTTGAGCCCCGCACCCCCACATGTTTGTAAAAACAACCAGAATATATTCATGGGGTACCCAATGCCCCCCCACCCACTATTTCCATTAAAATATATTAATGAGAAGGTGATGACAGGGAAAATTAGCCAGCCTCACAAACCATTGAAGAATGGAAATTAGTTCCTATGGGTTGATTTGCTAAAGACAAATTTACTCTTCACTTTGCAAGTGCACTATAATTATACCCAGAGCTTGGTGAATGAGGTGAAGCTGTTCTGACTTCCATAATCCAATAGGGCAAGCAAAAAATGCATTTTTTTTCTTGATTGGGTATGGCACATGAATGGGTATTCTTTCAAAGTGAACAGCCTTTAGTAAATCAACCCCTATGCCTCTGCCAGTTTTGCACAGTAACTTATTAATATTGTTCTTTAGGTAAATATTTTAACCACTTCAATATTCTAGGATGTACGTCCTCTAGTTACAGTGAAGATACAGGGTTCATGGCTGCAGCTGTAAAAGCAATCCGAGCAGATAAATAGCAGATGGATTGCTTTTACAGACGATGGAAGGGGACCCGTCTTCAGCTGCCGTCCGGTGACTCTCCCATCCCACAGCAACCAGCAGTTCCTCCATCTGACCATAGAGATGATTTAGGAACAGAATGTCCCCTAACATCTCTATGGCCTAAAAAGCGAAGTGACAAGATTTTGTCACTTCCGGTTTTGGTTTTGTTTACTGGTCGGTTACCGGCCAGTGAAGCAGCTGATCAGACCCAATTGTGTCTGATCAGCTGCTTGGGAGGCCAGAGGAGAGATCTGGGGTCTAATAGACTCCAGATGTCTCCATAAGAGGACCTGTCATGGCCCATGTTATTACAAGGGATGTATTTCATTCTTTGTGATAGCAATAAAGCTGCTGAAAAAAAAAAATTCAAATAGTGCAAAAAAAATTTTTTAAAAAAATAAATAAAGTGCTCCCCCCTGTGCTTGCATGCAAAGGCGAAGGCATATGCAGGTCGCTAATCCCTATATAAAACAGAGTTTGTGCCACCTGTGAGGTATCGCTGCAAATAGTATAGCGAGAGTAATATTTATAGCACCAGACCTCCCGTGTAACTTTAAAAGCCAGTAAAGGCTTTTAAATCCTTGCCCATGGAGATTTTTAAGTACCATCGTTTTGTTGCCATTCCACAAGCATGCACCATTTTTAAAGCATGACATGTTTGGGATCTATTTGCTCAGCATAGTATCATCTGTTATATTTTACCAAACAGCTGGGTATTCTATCTTCTGCTTTTGTGCATTTAAAATTCATTAACATATTTTTTTTTTAAATTTGCGTTTGAAAAATCACTGCACAAATACCATGTGACATAAAAAGTTGCAGCAACTACCATGTTATTCTCTAGGGCCTCTGATTAAATAAATAAAAAGTGTGTGTTTATTTTGGGTTCTAAGTAATTTTATTCCACCAAGGAAGGTATTTTTCTTGTTTTCTACTACAAATAAGTAATCATTTGGGTAAAGTAATGGCAAAGCTATTGCTAAATCAATAAGCACACGGTTGGACTACTGTATAGTTACATTTATAGATGAGATACACAAGCATTAGTTTTCAAGTTATTGAAAGTAAGTGAAAGCGAGGCAATATATTGTCAAATTAGTGATAGAGAAGTTATTCATATTCTTTATGATTATCCCAGTAATAAATTGGGCAAAGTAGAATTCTGTACCTAAAAGAAACTGACCAAGCTGTAAACGGACTTTTTGTCAAAACTCTTCGCTACTTTGCTTAGATGAATTAGCATTGTAGAAGGAAACCTGACAAACATCTGTACATGGTAGAAGCAGGTTTGGGTGGGCTTGATGGAAGCCATAGGCAGTGCTGTCATCAGAATTAGGTGTCTTCAACTGTTAAATAATAAATAAACAGAGTCCAGTATGTGCAGGTACAGTGATTGTAAAGTGTTTACGATTTTAATTTATATAAAAAAAAACAAACATATTTACTAGCACTACCGATTCGTCTCTTCTGGGGTCCCCCACCAGTGCTTCAGCCCACCCCCTCCTGCCCCATAAGAAGCCCCTTTCTATGGGGGCACTCGTGCTTGTTCAAGCTGGAGCATACAATTCGGTTGGGATTTGATTGACAGCGACAGGAGCCAGTGCTGCTCAGCCAAGCCTGTGAAAGTGGGGAGAGGGGAGAAGAGCTGCTGCAGACATGCACAATTCTGTATCGAGATTGGACTCCGGTAAGTATTCAGGGATCTGCGGGGGGAGCTACTATTTTAAAAGGTTTTTTTACCTTAATACAGAGAATGCATAAAGGTAAACCATTTTACCTTGACACTTTAATGGTGTCTGTTGACTAATCATTAAAGTGGTTGTAAAAGCAAAAATGCTTTATCTAGATGCATTATTTGCATAAGGTAAGTAAAAAAACTTCCAATATGAGTGCTCCCAGCCCCCATCCATAACACTTATCTAAGTCCTGTATCGATCCAGCGCTGTGCCTGGCTGCAGGTCTTCCCTCTCCTCTCCCAGCTTTCACAAGCTGGGCTCAAAGCAGTGGGAGCAATTGGCTTCTGTTATCAGTCAAAGCCAATGAGGGAGCATGGGAGTGGGGCCAAGCCACCCAAGTTATGTATCTTTAAACGCACACAGCTCTACTCTGGATCAAACCCGCACATGTGCTCCTATAGCAAGCTGCACACAGAAGAGGCAGGCCAAAGAATGCTGGGGGTGACCCCAGAAAGGGAGGTTTGGAGCTTCTCTGTGCAAAACCAATGCACAAAGCAGATAAGCAAGAATAACATGTTTTGTTGTTTTTAAAAATTCTTTAAAGAGTCATTTGTACAAACTGCTATATTTGCTTTTAAAAGTCATTTGTGATTAATTCAGCATTTAAACTAGATTTTTAGCAATGGGGGAGCAAAACTTAGACGTGTGTGTGTATTTTTTGGGCCAAACAATAAAGGCGAAGGTGCCATAAATGTGAGCATGTAAACTTGCTACATGGCCCCTCTGACCTAAAATGGGTGAATTTGGCAGGTGGTGTCCTCCTGTCATTTTAGCATGACATGTAAAATGTTCCATGCCTGCAACAAAAAGCATTGCACCATGCTATGTGAACAGCATTCTAGTTTTATTTTAGATTTAGGCGGGTAGTCTGGGCATGGTAAAACTGTGGCTCAAGTGCCTGCTTTTGCCACCCCCACACACCCATGTGAAAGGGGGTAAAAGATTTAGGCTCAATGCACACTAGGGTTTTTTTTTAAGCTCCTAGAAGTTGTTAGCATTTTTTTCTGCTCCTAGAAGCTAAACAGTGCTATCCTATATGTCCATGTACAATTTAGGCTATTAGCATTTTTTGAGCTTCAGTGTGTGGAGAAGAGAAAATTGTTTTTGGAGCGTTTTTATAGCAGAAAAAAAATGCTAAACACTCCTTAACGCTAAAATATGCTGTTAAATTCTACTAAAATGCTTCTAACAGCTTTTTTCTAGCTTCATTTCCTACATATACTGTAAAAATGCTAATAAAATGCTGATGCTTCTAAATGCTACTAAAACGCCACTAAAAGTGCTATTGCCAGCTTTTTTTTTTTTTTTTTTAGCTTAAAAAAAAACAAACAATAGTGTGCATAGAGCCTTAAGGTCTAAAAGCACAAACACTGTAATTAGTTACAATATGTCTCTGTATACCACCTATATAATGTATTTACATTGATACAGATCTATATATATAGAATATGTAATATTTATTTTCTAGTGTATTGGTCCATATTCGATTACTAAGACGGCGCTATTTGGATTAACTAGTGTGTTGGCACAAGCTTTGCGTTTCATGAACATCAGAGTGAATTGCCTGGCACTGGGATTAATCAATACAAGTTTCAGTAAAGTGGTAAGTCCAAAATATCTGGTCATAGTGTTATATTTCATACATTGGATTACCCAGTTTGGGTTACCATGGAAAAAAGCAATTAATGTTTGTTTAAAGGGTGTCACCCACCAAAGAACAAAATATTAGGCCATTCCCAGGTGTTAATTTCTCTGGGGTCTGTTCCTTCCACACACAATTCGTCAAATTTCTGAAGTTACATACCCCTTCTAAAGGGTACACATGCTGCAGCTAAGAGGGTAGCTGTTGGGATGGTAAAATTACAGCTTAATGACAAGGTTTTAACCCCCCACCTCACATGTGAATGAGCATTAATAGTGTAGCCAGTCACAGTATCTCTGATCTCCACCATACCAGTCAGTGTCACCACATGAGTGGAGATAGAAACAGTGTTCCTGATTGTGGTCACACTATATCAATGCAGCCAGCAAGTTTTCCTGATCACTGCTACACCAGTTCCAGTGGCATCAGATCAGTGTATACTAACAGAGTTCCTGATCATTGCCACACAAGTACCAGTGTTACCAGCAGGGGCGGACTGACAACGCATGGGGCCCCCGGGCAATAGGGGATCATGGGGCCCCTGTGTCCTTGCCCAAACTCAAAAAAGCCTATGAAAAAGGTACCAGAGGCATCTCATGGGGACCCCTACTGACCCCGGGCCCTCGGGCAGTGCCCGAGTTTCCAAATGGTCAGTCCGCCCCTGGTTACCAGGCAACTCTAAGCCAGAAAGTACCTACCACACCAGTGCCAATGCCAGTGTAAGAAAGCAACGGTGTTCCTGATTGCTGCTGCACTATTCCCCAGTGTCACCAGACCAGTGTAAGCCATCAAAGATGTTCTTAATCACTGTCACACCCGTCATATTGTTGCCAGAACAGTGTAAGCCATCAACATCATTCTTAAATGGTGCCACACCAGTGAAAATGTCAGACCAGTGCAGCCAGCAAAAATGTTGCTTATTGCTAGCCATACCAGTCAGTGTCATCAGAGCCAGTGCAGCCATCAACAGTGTCCCTGATCACCAACACGTCAGTACAGTGTCACCAGATCCAGTGCAGTGTTGCCTCTGCCTGCCACCTGTACTGACCTTAGCACGTTTATTGACTTAATTTCTGCCTACTGTCTGGGCCAATCTTTTGCCTATTTACTTAGCATGTCTCTGCCTGCCTCCTGAACTGAACCATCTACATATCATTGCATATATACTGACTATGCATATGATTTACCGGAAGTTGGGCCTCGATGCATCATCAGGAAGGACCTGATGACATTGGTTTGATAAAATGCATTGAGGTGGAACTACATACATTACTTCTGGTCACGTATTTCCAGTACTGAAATGGCGGTGCTTTATTTTACATACACTGCTGATTGTACTAGTGCCGAATTCATGGCACTTATAACTGTAAGGGCACATCTAGTTGTTGCTTTTATTGTTCATTGTCCTATTTTAATAAAATGACTGCACTAGAAGCACTTTTTATCCCCCCTGGTTCTGGTCATAAACTGAAGAGGATATGGCAATATCATGGTGGAAATATCTTGAACACATCACTAGAAGCTGGGCCGGTCCTGATATAATAAATCCATTGTTGGAGTCCATTGTAATCACTTTTTGACCAATTAAAAACTAAGGGGTCACATGCAGTCTGAGCGTTTAATGTTGCACTGTTCACTGGATGAATTCATCATTTTGGAGTGGGAAGAGGAGATCCTTGCTGGAATTTTCAAGGACTTGCTGTATGTTAGCAAAACTGTTGGCGCTATATAAATCCTGTATTATAATAATAATAATAATAATAATGTTAGTGACACTTTTTTCAGCGATTATGTATGCACGTTTTGGACTGGGTGTCACCTCCATGAATGTGTTTTTCTCAAGTTGGGCACATTTAATGTTCTTTGAAATTTCATATGGGTTTATTGAAGATTTATTCTTATAGTATGGTCAATTTCATTTTTGTGTGGACTATGTATATAAAGTATATACGAGCACCCCTCTTTTTAGTGTTGTGTTTTTTTTTAAAGACTCACCGTGCCTCTCAAACACCGTGGGATGTTTACTCTCCAAAATGTGGTCATTTTGTGGGTGTTTCCACTGTCCTTGTGCTTCAGGGCCTCCAAAAATGTGAACAATAGTTAGGAAAATAGATTCCTTGTATTTTGGGCCTCTGTGGTTTGGCTGTGAGAAAAAGGTGTTATTGCCATACTTGGGAGGAGCAGCAGCATGTGTTTTGGGTTGTAATTCTAAGTATGCCTATGCTGTGTGCTATTGAGAACATTGTTTAAAACAATTTAATTTTTTTTCTAAATTTGTGACACAAAAATTAAGTCTTTTTCAAAGACCTAAATTGCCCCATAGAAAGTACCTTGGGGTATTTGATTTACAAAATTTAGTCATTTTGCACTGTCCGTGTGCTCCATGGCCTACAAAAATGTGATGGGTAGTCTAGATGTGTGATTTATGCACCTAGCTTGTCTGAAGGTGCTCTTTGGATTTTAGCACCTCTATGTAGCTGGGCTATGCAAGTCTCATACATATATGTTATCTCCATACTCATGAGTAGAAGAATGTGTTAAGGTTTACTTCTAAGTATGCCTGTGCTGTGTAAGATATATATATATATATCTTAATTCACAGCTTTTGTAAAAAAATAAAAAAAAAATTCCAATTTCCATTTGAAATGGCGTAGTGCAGAATGGCAAAAAAATTACCTGGTCGTGAAGGGGGTAACATATTCTTGAGCTTAAGTGGTAAAGACAGCAGCAGAGGCAGATGCTGTAGGGAAAGGATGTTTAAGATTGCCTTTAAGGGAAGCAAGGGCTCACTCAAAATGGAACACAACAGAAAGTTACTTGTTGCTGACCCTGTCAGTGAGGAAGTGACGTGTAGATCCAGGTGAGTATTGTTCTGCATAGTAATTCTTTTACTGGTGGTTTTGCCCTGCAAGAATAGTTAATTCCAATTAACCACCCATGTGTAGGGGCTTTCTTCCTTCTACTGACCAACACCGTAAAGGGGCTTTGTTCTTCCTATTGATCACACACAAGGGAGCTTTCTTCTCCTACTGACAACAAACATAAGTGGGCATTGTTCCTTAACATCTTCCCTAACATAAGGGATCCTTATTTCTTCTAATGAGCGCCAACATAAGGCAGAATACTTGCTCATACTGAGTACCAATATAAGGGAGCATTCTTCCTTCTACTGCCCACCAACATGAGGGAGCATTCTCTTCCTACTGACAACCAACATAAGGGAACATTAATTCCTTTTACTGCTCAATAATAACATAATTCTTTTTACCACTAAATAATGTAAGGGAAGGATCATTGTTTCTACTATTGACTACCAAAACAAGGGGACATTCTTCCTTCTAGTGACCACCAATTCAAAGGGACATTCTTCCGGCTGGTGACCACCAATATAAGGTAGAGTTCTTCCTTCTACTGACTACCAACATAAGAGCTGTCTCATCCTGCTGACTACAAATTCAAAGGTAAAATTCTTCCTCCTACTGACCACCAATGTGAGGGAGCATTCTTCCTACTACTGGCCACCAACATAAGGGAGCATTCTTCCTTCTACTGACTACCAATATTAGAAAGCATTATCCTACAGACCACCAGCTTGCCAAGGGCATTTGTTCTTCTGACCAGCAACATAAGTAAGATTTTTTTCATCTACTGATCACCAATGTGAGGGGGTGGTCTCCCTAGTGCATTATTTACAAAATAAAAAGCTTACAGTGAAATGTGAATTAACTACATTGTTTTACTTTAACTGTAACTGACAACCAACTGACCACCTGCTATCAACCGTCTATGTAAGGGAGAACTTTTCCTCTTAATGACCACCAATGTGAGAAAGCATTCTTTCTTCTACTGACTGATTGAAAGGTGTATCCCTTTTTTTTTTTTTTTCTACTGACCACAACATAAGGCATAATTTTTACTTCTAATTACCGCCAACATAAGGTGGCTTTTTTCTTCTACTTTCCTTTAATGTATGAAACATTCTTTCTTGTACTGACCACCAATGTAAGGAAACATTGTTCCTTCTACTGACCACCAATGTAAAGGGGCATTCTTTCTCACTTGAACTCAAGCAATGCAAAGCCTAGCATATATGGAAGGAGCACAAGGCCAAAAGATAGTCCAAGTAAATTCTATTGATATTGTGTTAAAACACAATCAAAACAATTGCTTGGACTTTTATCTTTTGGTCTGGCCCTGCTTCCAAATATGCACATTCATTTCTGGTGACCTGCTGGGTTACCCACTGGAGGGTAGCCTTGCCCGTTGTGAGTGGCCTATCCTGAGCAAGTGAACTTTTTAAATGTTTTTGCCCCCTCACTGTCTTGTTTAAACTCAAAGTCCCAGAACCTCTTGGATGACCTTTTTTCATTGGTATCAATGCAAGGGAACATCCTTTGTCCTACTGGCTACCAGTGTAAGGGAGCATATAAAACAAAATGTGTTATGGTTATAAGTAAATATAAAATTGTAGCTCTGGACCTATGCCACATGACCATGATGTCTAGAGTATTGTTGAATTCTATATTTTTTTCTGTATTGGGGCCCTGTGAGTTATAGTTAGGCGCCTGTAAAGCATAATGATGTATGAATAAGCCCCAGTATAGGGCGAACAAAGTTTAAAGTGAAGATCCTGAGTGGAGTGTATGTGCTTGTGCTGAACAATAAGGTTGATATTCCCCTTTGGAAGTGGAGTATGACTCCAGGGCTTGGATTTTGTTTAAATAAGTTTTTGGTATTGTGCTTACACTTCCTTTTTTTTTTTTTTTTTTTTTTTTTTTTTCTTTTAACTAATCACTACCAGGCATTAAAAATGAAATCATAACGAGGCTTAGATGCAATGCAGATGTTTGTGCAACCTTTCCAAATGTCATATATTTAACATTCTTTCTAAAACCATTATTGGGCTTTGTCAGACTTGCAAGATTTAGTTGTCATATAAGCCACTTTAAATCTATCTTGCACTTGACTTGTCTCAAAAACTGAAATCTGACTGGATGTAATACATTATTGCAGAAAGAGAGATGTCTCCCTGAAAATGACTTGCAGTTCACTAGATTTTCAGCTCAAAATTTGCACTTGATACTGACTGGCCAGGTCAACCTACTACAGGCAGACGTTACCAGAGCAATCCCTCCCTAAAATGTAGTGTTAGTAGTTGCATTGGGAAGGAAAAGGAGGACTGTCTGTTCATGGCCAGCCACCTCTGGACAATTTTCTCCGTGTTATACAGTTATATGTGCACTTTTGTATTTCATGTTGTTTAGGACATGAATATTATTGAATAAACAAACATGTGAATGGATTACTTTTATTAAACAACTGCTTAACCTTTCCAGATGACGGAGAATCCAGAATTACATTCAAAACTGATTCCTTTTGGTGTTTTTAGGTATGTATAATTTTGCTTCTTGCCATAGTTGAGGGATAATTTATTAAATACATTACTTTACCATAGACATGAAATATTATCACTGTTAGCATATGTAAGCCAATCAGCTTAAATGGAATTTAAGAGGGACAATTTTTCCTCCATTTGATTGGATATCTAAAGCACACACAGGAGGGTCGGGTTAACTTTAATGCATTGCAGATTGTGATTCTGTGAGAAGGTAGACTTTAACATTATTTCCCCTTCTATCTATCTTCTTCCTTTATAAAAAGATCTGTAAACAGAATAACTTTGGCGAATCCTCATCGTTGCCAGTATTCCCTGACAACATTGCACTGTTTGTAAACTCTTTCTAACACTAGTAATTTAAATAAATGAAACTCACAAAAATGCAGATCATAAAATTTTTACAAACGTTGCTTTTGTGCTCTAATCACAAATGGCTTCAGAAGAAACTGT